TATCATCACTTTCAGGAATAAGTTCTTTTCATTCTCTCTTCAGAACACATATTTTATTAATAAAATTTATATACAAAGCCACTTTTAGTATGCTTTTATCTAGTTGCCGAGAAGCAGTAAAAGAAGAAAGTCAGCACTTGGAATTAGGGATCTGCCTCCTTCTCTCCTCCCCATGCACCCCCACATGCACAGTGCCGAAGTCACTGGCAATAGGGCACAGCTTGACTGCTTTTCCATGAGTATTTAAAAATAAATTATTAATATACTTGACATATATATTTTGTATGTGTTATAGATATATGTAAATATGTATATGAATTTGTCAAATTCTTAGAGACTGAAAGCAGAAGGGTAGCTGCCAGGATCCGGGCAGGGAGGAAGGAATGAGGAGATGTTTAATGGGTATGGAATTTCAGTTCTTCAAGATGAAAAAGTTCTGAAGATTGGTTGCATAACGGTATGAATATACTTAATACTTAAAAGTGGTTAAGATGGTAACTTTTATGTTATATGCATTATACTGCAACTAAAAATAATATATATATAAGTTACCAAAAATATAAAAAATGAAATGATCCTGGGACTAGGCTTCATTATTGTCAATAGTCCTCTACTTTCTTTATGAGTTTATCTTACCCTTTATGTATAGGCTCACGTGATCCTTTACTTCTATTCCTGTAATCATAACCCCTACCAGAAGTCAACATGTTATGGTCAGTGTAAAAAACCTTTGTTATATGTGATCTATCATAGACTGTAGACTCCTCTGATCTTCCTAGGAGACAAACTGATTGGAGACCTTCATAGGCAACAACAAATCATTGTGAAGATATTTCTGTCAAAACATGGATAACAAATTTGAAAAGACTGTGGTTTACACATTATGAGGAAAAAATGATCCCTATGTACAAGTTGTATATGTCTTATTTTAAATTTTTTAATAGATAAACTATTGATGTACATTTTTGTTGCTAACACTTTGAGGATGTGAATATATTACTTCAATTAGGTAGATGTATCCAAAAATCCATAACTGTCCATTGAAAGCTGTCTTTTCTGTGTTCTATTATATAGAATAAATTGGGTGTTTTTAGTATCTTTTGGAACTATTTATACTTTTTTGTAGTTGGAAAAAAAAAGGCCCAATGATAAAAATTTTTCCCATTGAAAAAGCTTGAGGTAGGTTTTCAGTTTGCTTATTTGTTTTGTTTTTAAAGAAATAAGAGGAATTAGAGTTCTAGCACACCTAAAAGAAACAATTTAAAGATTTAAAGATTAATTTAGATTAAAATCTTGAGCTAATTTAAAAGTATGTCTCATGATACTATAAATTGAGATAGAACAGATAATAAAATTAAATAGAAAATCCTTTGAAATGTCTTTGATCAGAGCACTTCTTGTGTTTCTGAAAAAAAGGTGTTTTTTCTTAGCTTATGTAATGTTGTAACTTATTCATTAATATCATTCTCAAGAATTGGGACCAGGTCTTAATTGTGACCAGAGTTCCTGAAATAGTTCATTATATTTCCTCTTTGAGATTAGATGTTCCAATGAATGATGGTTAAAGATTGAGGGGGGGTCCCCAGATCATACTATAGGTCCATTATGTTTATCAACCTACCTCACAATTGATTTACTGAAGGCAGTGAGATTTTTGGCAAAATTTTTAAAAAATCATTAATTCAAATCTCACTAGTTCAAAACTAATATTTGTAACTAGATATTATAGATTTAAAAGAAAACTCAGTTTGCTGACCAAAAAAAAGTAGCTTAATAAGATCTGAAGAATGGTAATTCTTACGTAGAACTAACTTTTCCTACGTCATTAGGCATCGTTTATGTGGAATCAACGTTAATGCAGTTATGTGGATCTGCACTGCTTATCCCATGCTTAGATAAGATGTTAACAAGTCATTTTCATCTACTCTCGCCTTTAAACAAAGGAGAACTAGACTCTTGGTATAAGTTCCAAAATAACAACTAAAACCAAATAACAATTATGGTATATCATAGGGAGAAAAACCAGGCAGGCATTAAAAATTGTATTATATACAAAAAGTTTTTATAGAAGAGTTTTATTGAAGTGGCAAAATATTCATAATGAAGTATTAAATGTTTTTTAAAAGAACCACAAAATAACATGTACAGAATAATAACCATTTTTATTTATAACTATATTACTATAACAAGTTATGATTATAATATTTATAAATTATAATATAAATAAAGATATTTATACCTACAAATATAGCAATACATGTACTTTTTGAAACAGACAGGAAAAACACACAAAAATTAACAGTAACGGTTTCTCTGTTTTCTGAGTAGTGGGATTTTGAGTGATTCTTGTTCTTCCTCTAGCATTTTTTAAAATTTTATGATTGTTCATATTAAGCATGTACTGATTTCAAAATTAAGAAAAATATAGTATATGATGTATAAATAAATGCACAAATAAAAGCAGGGCACACATTTTTACTCTGTAGTTCAAGCTTTTTATAAATTTAGATGAGCCTTATTATTAATTAATTAGTTCAAATTTTAAAAATTTTATTGTTAATTGGCTGCTTAAATTGTGTGAACACTGAAACATGAACCAAGCAGATTTGTTCATTGTACTGTTTTCAATGGTTGGTACTTGGTGTATAAGAAGCTAACGATGATGAGCCAGCATGACATTACTTTAGGTTAGTCATGCTATTTAAAATTTAGTGTTTACAAGTATGTGCATATGTTTCCAATAAAGACATATTTGCCACAGCAGACTACTTTTCTTAACATTTTGTGATTCGTTTTCACACTCCTGTTTGTTCAATGCAAGTTGTTTGACCTGTAGTTGCTCTTAAGTCTTGAAGGACTGACCCTCGACAGTGCAGTCTTTTCCAGAGTTTTCACCTTTGGAAATTTAGAAGGTTTCCCTTGCCAGTTCAGAATACAGTCGTCCCCCCTTATCTACAGGGGGTATGTCCCAAGACCCCCAGTGGATGCCTGAAGCCATGATTGTACCTAACCCTATATACATACTATGTTTTTTGCCTATACATACATATCTATGATAAAGTTTAAACTATAAATTAGACACAGTAAGAGATTAACAATAATAAAGTAGAATGATTATAATGATATCCTATAATACAAGTTTTGTGAATGCGCTTGCTCTCCTTGTCTCTTAAGACATCTGATAACTGATCTAATGGCCTAGAGGACTATTAACTGTTTAAAGGCTGGGTCGTGTATACAGAATGGGTATATTGGACAAAAGGAATGATTCATGCCCCAGGTGGGACAGAAGGGACAGCACAAGAGTATGTCACACTACTCAGAACAGCATGCAATTTAAAACTTATAAATTGTTTATTTCTGGAATTGTCCATTTAATATTTTCGGACCACAGTTGACCATGGGTAACTGAAACCACGGAGAGTGAAACCACAGATAAGGAGGGACTACTGTGCCATTTTGGTAGATCTCAAGGAGGATTCCAGCACACCTCTGTCATTACACACTCACCCTTTGTACTTTGTTCACTGACCTGTGGCACTGGCCACATTTTCTTATAGTTCTGTGTGACTCTGTCTTCCTCAGGAAATGAGACACTTTAATAATTATCATTTGTTAAATGATTACCATGTGCTAGAAACTGCACTACCCCTTTGCATATGTTACGTCATTTGAATCTCATAATATTATGAAAATGAAGCAATATTTTCTCCATTATATAAATGGAAAAGCTAAGGCTTTGGTTTTAAACAAGCTGGGATGTAAAGACAGAACTGCCAACTCTGAAGGAGAACGAGTACCCTAAACCAATAACCAAATATGCTACTTTCCATGAGGATTAGTGATCCAACTGCTGAACAACTGTGTCCTCGCTGCCTCCGCCAGCTCTGAAATCTGTGATGCTGCCTAATCATTTTTTCTGACCCTTACATGAACAAGGTGATTCTATCCTCCCTTATATACACCATTCTCACAGTATTTCGAGGGGATAAATCAGTCTTATTAACCCCAGATTTCAGAGGATCACATCATGGTCAAAAGTTTTAAATTCCTACTTTTAGACATTGTTTCTGAGTTTTAAATCTTGTATCTAATTTTATCAGTTCTAAAATTAGGAAAATATGTGATATTGGTTTATTTTCTGCATTTCCCCCTGCTTTATGCTGGTTAATAGTGATGACAGTGATAGCTACCATATACCGAATACTTGCTGCTGTGCTTAGTGCTTTATGAAGTGATCATACCAAATATGTTTTGTTACTTTGCCATTTTACAGATGAGAAAACGGGCTCAGGGAGGTTAAACAGCTCACCTGGTTTTACATACCAATGAGATCATTGATCTAATAAAAAAAATACATTGAGGATTTGGATCCAGTTTTTCTGGACTCTTTGAATCAAGACTCTGTCTCTTGGTAGTGGTATTGCTTTGGACTAATTGCATATACCTACTATGTATCAGTTCCTTGACCTTTAAAATGGGGTATGATATTATTTACCTCAATGTTGTGGTGTGGATTACTTGCATTACTAAAAGATGGTGCTTAGAACAGTGCCTGACACAGTGTTTGCTTAGTATTTGGCGCTATAAAAATAATAAAAATTACTATTAATATTGTTACCCACTGAATTTTAATTATTAAAATCAAATATTAAACCATATAGAAATATATGAAGTAACAAACATCCCCCTCTTACCAACTACTTCCTCTCCCCAGCATTGACCACTGACACCAGGTTGGTATATACCCTTCCAGAGTATTTCCTGTGCCATCTGAAACTATTTTTAAATTGTCCTTTCATTAATAAAACATAGGTTGAGAGTAAATATTTTGTCATGATCTTGAGAGTGGAGAAGTAGAAAGGGAGACAAATTCATTTATTCAGCAAATATTAATCAAACGCTTTCTGTGTGCCAACCACTCTGCTAAGTGCTGAGGAGATGACATGTTGAATTTCTGTTTTGACTGTTTATCAATTTTCTTTTTTACTTTTATTTAGGACATGATGTTTCAGCTTCTCCGAGGTCTGGACTTTCTTCATTCTCACCGAGTCGTGCATCGTGATCTAAAACCACAGAACATTCTCGTGACCAGCAGTGGACAAATAAAACTGGCTGACTTCGGCCTTGCCCGCATCTACAGTTTTCAGATGGCTCTAACCTCAGTGGTGAGTGAGAGAGTGCTGTTCTTTCATTCAATTTATTTTTCCTCTTTTAAATGACAAACTGCCCCCATTCAATGCTCCTAATGTTATTACTGCCAGTGGTCGGCTGGTGGACAGAATGTCTGCACTTTTTTATATAACTGTAGGTAAGAGAAAAGCATTCTGCTTACAACTACAGACACATCCAGACTGGGCTTGTTGTGGACAGGACCCATTGCAGAAATAGCCTGTTGCATCTTAGCCACTAGAAAGGAATCAGTTATAAGTTTCCAAATGCTTTTTGTTATAACCACTGTTTTCAGAGCTGCATATGTATTGTATGGGGAAACAGCACAAGGTCGGGAAAGAGAGAGCACCAGGAACGTTGACCTGTCTGTAGCCTCCTTGTTTGAGGAACAGCTACAGTGCCTGCAGAGCTGTGTGAAAGCGCTCCTCTGAAGCTGTGGTGCCGACTGTGGAGAAAAAAATTAAATTTACAATGAACTTGAATGACCCAGGTCCAGGTAGCACCACATTGCCCTGTAAAGGCTTAATACAGGCCAGAAGAGAAAGAGTAAACCCAAGGGCTCTGTTCTGGCAGAGAATGACAGTTACGATATCCTGTTCTTTGTCTCATTCAGACATAAAACCATAATACTATTGACTTTGGTTAGCTTTCATTTATCCTTACAGTTCATTGTTTCTGAGATGAATTTTTATGAAATTCTGCACTCAAAAGATAAAAAGAGGAGCTGGAAGTAGACACTAATAACCCTTTTGTTTGAAAGACCTGTTTTACATACAGCGAATTTACACATAGATACAAAAAGCCAAGGAATGTCCCTTTGCTGTGCTACTTATCTGGGGCAGAAGTTGATGTGGAGAATCCCTTTGATTCGATAATGACTATAGAAATGGCCCTCAAAGCATTAAATTGAGCCTTAAGAAAAAGAATCCTCTTGGGTAAATATGTCATTTTTCGCACACAGTCCATTTTTAGCCTCGAAGTGGTTCCCAACTGGGCAGCACTGCCCTGGGTGTGGGGTGTTGTTGAGAAAAATATGGCCATGTCTTTGGTCATCATGATGACTTGGAGAATGGAGGTAGCTGCAAGGAGGCTAATATTCTGCACAATAAAAATTGTTTCCCCACATTCCAGTAATGCCTCAGCTGAGAAGTAGAAATTCAGGAGGGGAATTGGAAATTCTCTAAGAGAGATAACTATGCCTTGGAAAAACATTCAGTGTACAAAAGTATTCTGCTTCTCACCCCCGAAATATGGATACTACGACCTGGACATGTGAGACCACTTTCTTTCCCAATATTTTATACTTTACCTAGGGCATTAGAATTTTTACAGGGAATTCCTTGGAATCTGTCCTATTGTTGAAAGATAAATTGTATTTGTTTCCTCTTTGTCCAGCATACGCCATCAATTTTAAGAAGACAAGGCACAAGGTGGCATCTAAAGGATGTGCCTCAGCTTTGGGGTGGGTCAGGCGAGCCCTTGTATTATATAATGACACCAGAAAGGGCTGAGTCTGTGTGTTTCCCCAGTGGGAAGGGTGAGGTAGGCTGAGAGCTTCCTTAGGAAGTAGTTGTGCCTGTTGTTTCAAGGCCCCGGGGGAAAAGCTTGAATAGGCTTTGTGATCTGGATAGTCAGCAGAGGAGCAGATGGAAGGAACTCATCTCCTTGGGTACATTGATCAGGGGAAGGATGAGCCATAACCGAGACACTTTTTTTGATCCCCTCCAAATGGGCACTAAAAACCGTAAATAAAAACAGGAAACCCAGCTGGTTTTGAAATATTCACGAAATATCAAGTTGTTCTTAACTTTTCTTTCTTTCTGTCTCTTTTTTTTTTTTTTTTTTTTTTTTTTTTGCTTATTAAATTCAAGGAATGATAGCCCAGCTTGTGCGTAACATCAATTAACATTCCATTCTAGCTAAAGGTTGATATGTTCAGACAGGAAAGTGTAGACAAATTATTTCATAGAGAAAAGGAGAAAGACAATCATAAATACCTGCTTTTTCAGTATCTCATTTATACCACATCCTCTCTGTTACTTATGGTGGCATAAAGTTAAAAAGCATTAGCACCTGTGAAGCACGCCGGGACAAATGCAGACTTGAAAGAGTGATCATTGGAATGTAATGGCAATAATAAAGGGTACGATTCCTATAAGGGTACTGCGTTTAAAATTTTTCCCATTGGTTTATTTTTTTGTTTGTTTAAAGGAAAAATTTTAAAATGGAAAGATTCATTTAGTATAGTGATACATTGGTTCACGTACACATAGTGACATAGGAAGACTTGGAATCACAATTTTTCAAATGAAACTGGTATTTATTTTTCCACTTCCTGGAAATACGCATTTTTTAGTGGGTTATGTCATACAGGAACTGGGAGTCAACTTAATCTGTGGAATGTTAAAGGAATTACAAGTTAACTGATTCAAAACTGACATTTTACAGCCGTGAGAAATGCTAATATATTACTTATCTTCCAAAGCCTGGATCAAATGTCCCCTTCTGTTACTCCTTGCAGAAATTAATTCCTCCTTCCTTCCTCCATGATTTCAGAGTAACATCTTATTCATGTCTTTCATAATACTGCTTTATATGGGGGTTTTATTTATCAGGCTGTAAGCTCCTTGAAGGAGTTGGCCTTTTGGATAGAAATTAATTTAGGACGATCGTTGTAAGTCTGGACCGTAGTTGTAATGTAGGTGTGTAGGTGTGACTTAGCTTGTCTCCCTCTGATAAGGGAGCGTTAAGCGCCCTTTAGACACCTCACTTTATTGGGACATCGGCAGCCACCCGATGATGACTGGTAATCATGAACTTCTAGGAACAGCAATTTGGAGAGAAACTAGTCCTCTCTTTTCAGTTTATGATGAAAAATTTTAATTTTTTTCTAAACTGAACCATACAGCATGTAAGGCAATACTTTTGCCATTGGATTTGGTGTTTTTGGAACTCTTTATTAATCACCTCATTTTGAAAGTGGAGAAACCGAGACTACGACAGGCAGTTTGTGATCAGATTAAGTCTGAATTTCAATGAATGGGTTTTAAATGGCTTGGAGAACCCACCACCCTACTGCTTTCCTCTTCTTCCCTCTGTAAGCTCCAGTACTTCAGAGTGTATCATACTATGTTCTTTGGAACTCTCTGGTTCTACAAAGGATATCTAGAGACTCCACAAATGTTCAAAAGTTCATTTTTTAAAATGCATTTTAAGTCTTGCTGAAATTGTAATAAGAAACACTAGCTCATGCCACATTTTGACACAGTGGGTAACACTGAGGCATGAGTTCATACCTCCCGGTTAACTAATTTTTTATGTAGATTCAGAATGAAACTTCTGCCACACTTGTGCAAACCTGAACGTCTTGTAAATGTATCATTCTTTGGAAAAAATCAAGCGTTCTCTTGATTCACTCCTGTGTCTGCTCTCTTAAAATCACCCCAGGGCATAATCGAGACAGCACACACATCGTGCTGCACTCACTGTACGTGAGACCACTTTGAGGGCCATCCAGAGCAATGCCAGTGTTGAGATTACTATATCTAGATGTGGCTGCCAATACCCAGGCAGTTAGAGCCACTCACTCCCCAGGATAGTCACCATCAAGCCGCCTATGGATAGAAGTCTGCACCTTAAAATAAGGTTGTTCTTTTTGGTGCCCCTGTAACTTAACATCCTGGGACGAGGTCCAGGATTGGCCTGCCTTAAACCAATTTTTGCTTTATAATGAACAGTATTACAATCACTTTTCAGTGTATTTGGAGGGCCTTTATATAATCATTAGACAAAATATAGAATTAGCATTTTTCCTCCAAATGCCTTGGCCTAACACATATAATGTGGAGAAAAATTCCACTTTGTACCATATTGGAAAAGTGAGAACATTCTCTTATCTTTTTAGTGACTTAATAAAATTACATTCTCCTTCTCCAAAGGTCTTTTTTTCCATATTATCTTCGCTATTAAAAGACACATGTGTTCTGAAAACATCTTCCACTCTGTAGAAATCACCAAGAGGCAAGTAAATAGTAAACATGGGAAGACCACTCTACAAAGTACAAAAATACACATGGAGATTTTTCTTATATGGAACTGATAAGATTCCCAAAGTTGCCTTTTTTAAGATCGTTCATTTATTTAATGCCACAGTATTACAAAAATTGAATTGCTTACATTTCCTTCTTATACCTCTGGCAATACATGGTTTCTTACTGTAACCACGTATTGCCAGAGGTATAAGAAGGAAATGTAAGCAATTCAAATTTTGGTAGCATTTAGTAAACACTGAAGAAACCTTGCGGATTCAGAAACTTTTTTATAAGCATAAGGGAGAAAATTAAGGAAATGGCGTTGTGGCATTCAGTCAACAAATAATTATTAAGAACTTTCCTTGTGCCAGGGCTGTCAGTGAACTTGAGAGATGAGGTCTTTGCTCTCATAGAATTAATAATCAAAATGGGGAGACATCTTAATCAAATCGTCACACAAAGAAATGTATAGTTAGAAACAGACATAAATGCTATAAAGGGACACAGTTCTGTGAGGCCATGTGGCTCAGGAACCCTCATTGGCTGGGCGTCAAGGAAGCCCTCCCTGCTCACCCATGCCAGGATGTGGGATGCTCAAAGAGGTCACTTCTCTCGGAACCCACCTGGACACAGGCCCCATGGATGTGTGCATCATACGATTCGTGCTTATTTTCTATGTCTATGTTTGGAATAACTCATTGCACGGCACCCAGTTGGCACCACCAAGTTGACAAAGTGAAACAGAACCAAAGATAGGAGAACAATGACATCTTTTATAGGAGAAAATAAATTGTTTATGCTTGTTTCCTCTCCGTGCATGTTGTATTTACTATGGAGACCTGGCAGGGTTTGTGCCTCGGCTCCGACAGCCGAGCTACTCCCACAGAAGCCTGCAAACGCTGCCAGTGCATACTGAGTAAATCAAACCAAGAGCATTACACGAGTATAATGGAAAAAACCCAAAG